GCCCTTAGTCTACTCTCCATGTCCACTCAGATGTAAATCCCACTGAATCCCTTTGTAAGCCTTCAGTGTGTTTATTATTGCTAACACAATGTTGGACACTCAAATAATTAGGTTAATTTTTTGTGCAATCCCCACTTATGTTACTTTTCTGATTAGAGCTCCCTGAGCAAAGGGATGATGGCTAGGGGATTCTGAGTGCTGCAATCTATAAAGTAACTTTTCAAGCTTGGAAGTAATGGGTCACAAGGAACAAGACTTACTTCTGGGTGGGAAAACAGATATAATAGAGGTCCAAAACACAAGGCAGAAATAATCCAGTTTGAGACCGCTTTATGTGCCCTGGCCCAATGCTAGGGAATTTAGGGAATTGTAGTTCTGTGGAACCCTTCTCTGTCAGAGAGCTCTGTGGCCACATAAACTCCAGTTCCCAGGATTCCCTATCACTGAGCCAGGGCAGTTAAAATGGTCTCAAACTGGATTATTTCTGCAGTGTGTTTTGGACCAAAGTTACATTCCAACAGTTATATAGTGAGAAAGAGGTATGTTCCTTCACTAATAGAATGAGTAGTTTAAAATATTAGTTTTTAAGAGCATTTTAGAACCATCTTGATATATTTTTTTCAAGTTTTATGACATCCTTTTATCAATCCTAAAATGTAACAAGCAGATCAATAAGAAATGTTGCATATTACTTTTTCAACAGTTTCAAGTAATAGCATTGGTTTACTTTTCAAACACAGTAACAAGTAATGGGAACAAATTATCTTATAAAAAGCAACTTGCTCAGCTTTGCTTCCCTAGGCTTTGTGTTTAAGTAAACTACTCCATCCTCAGTCCTCCAACTGTCCCAGTCCTCAGTTATCCCATTTTCTCAGTTGCTTTTAAAATGTCCCAGTTTCTCTCCCTTCCACCTCCCACTTTCCCCCTTTGTCCTCAGCTTATTTCATCTGCTGCAAACTGAGTTGAAAATGCAAAAGGAGTTTGCATTCAACGAAGTCCAAGCAATTCAAGAAGGATGTTGAGAAGCTGGACTGCATCCAGAGGAGGATGACCAAAATGGTGAAAGGTCTGGAAACCATAAAGCCCTTAAAGAACTGGGTATGTTTAGCCTGGAGAACAGATGGTTAAGAGGTGATATGATAGCCCTATTTAAGTATTTTGAAGGGTGTCATATTGAGAATGGAGCAAGCTTATTTTCTGCAGCTCCAGAGAAGAGGAAAAGGAGCAGTGGATTAACACTACAGAAAAAGATATTCCAACTAAATATTAGGAAAAACTGTTTGATAGTGGGACACACTGCCTCAGAGACTGGTGGTGCTCCTTCTTTGTAGGTTTTAAAACAGAGGCTGGATGGCCATCTGTCTGGAGTGCTTGGATTGTGTCTTCCTGCATGGCAGAAGGGGGTTGGACTGGATGGCCCTTTGGGGTCTCATCCAATTCTATGAATCTATGATTCTAGGGAAGAGAGGAGGGGGCAGAATCTTGCCCTTCCCAATAGGCTCAGGCAAAAGCAAACCACTGCAGCCTCTCCTAACATGTGTACTCTTCCTCATTATTAACTTTTGCCATCTTGACCACACTCTAATGGTGCTTGGCCACACATGTCCTGGTTTTCATCTGTGAATCACAGAATCATAGAATTGGAAGAGACCTCAAGAGCCATCCAGTACAACCGCATTCTGCCATGCAGGAAGACACCATCAGAGCACTTCCTAAAGTTGAGGTGGAATCTCTTTTCCTGTAGCTTGCATCCATTGTTCCAGGTCCTTTTCTCTGGAGCAGCAGAAAACAAGCTTGCTCCATCCTCAGTATGACACCCCTTCAAATACATAAAACAGGGCTATCCACTTAACCATCTCTTCTCCAAGCTAAACACACTGATCTCCCTAAGCAAACA